GAGGGAGAGAAAGAGAGAGAGAGAGAGGGAGAGAGAGAGAGAGAGAGAGGGAGAGAGAGAGAGAAGAGAGATTGTGGGACTGTGGGGGGCGTGCTCAGGTGAGGAGAGAATGGAAAAGGAGACAAAGCAGTTTCGGTTCCGCTAGATACTGATGGGAAAGTCCCCTGGGCCCAGAAGAAACAACAACAACAATAACAGAAAAAGTCATCCGGCAAGTCTAGCCTGCTGCCCTTTTCATGATCCCAAAATGAAACTCTGCCTTGAAAGGGCTAAGGAGTTGTGACCTTCACAGGGAGCCATGATGAGAATGAGAGCAGGGTGCAATGGATGGCTGGGGCTGGGGTTCTGCTCCTGGCTTACCCCCCGACTACTGGGGGACTGTGGGCACATCATTTCCTGGCTCTGAGCCTCAGTTTCCCCACCTATAAAATGATGAGGTTGGAATAGTAGACCTCTGAGGTATTTTCTCCCTCTTAACTTTTCTGATCCTATCACATAACAAGGAGTAGATCTGGTCTCATTTCCTGGCTGGTGACAAATCTGGGGAGTGCTTGGTTTACCCAGGCATGCCTCACTCTGGGCTTCCATCTAGGGCTCAGACCCATCTCTGTTTGTCTCTCTCTGAATCTTCCCCCCCCCTCCTTCTCCCTCTCCCTGATGTGTCTCCCTCTATCTATCTCTCTCTGTCTCTTTCTCCATCCTCTCTCTCTCTCTCTGTGTTTCTGTCTCTTTCTCCATCCTCTCTCTCTCTCTGTCTCTCTCTGCCTCTTCCTCCTCCCCCTCTCCCTCTCCCCCCTGTGTCTCTCCCTCTATCTCTATCTATCTGTCTATCTCTGTTGCTCTCTTTCTCCATCCTCTCTCTCTCTGTTTCTCTTTCTGTCTCTTTTTCTATCTCTTTCTCTGTCCTCTCTCTCTGTTTCTCTCTCTCTCCCCTCCCCTTCCTCTCCCCCTTCTCTCTCTCTCTATCTCTCTCACTGTCTCTTTCTCCATCCTCTTTCCCTGTCTCTCCCTCCCTCTCTCCCCCCTTCTGCGTCTCCTCCTATCTCTATCTCTCGGTCTCTGTCTCTCTCCATCCTCTTTCTCTCCCCCCCATTTCCTTTCCCTCACCCCTCTCCAGACAGAAGTACGGCATTTTCACGGCGACCTTCTCCCCTCCCCTCGTCTCTCTGCGGGTTTCTGACTGGCGCCTTGTGAATGAGGGCCGAAGGACGCTAGGGTGAAGACTTGGGCTTGCTCCTCTCCTTTTGACTCAGCAGGGAGAAACCTTGTACTCGGCCAGGGGCCGATGACTGATAATGAGAATCCTTCTTATGAATGTATCTGAAAGCTGCCCTTTGACGGGCAGAATGGAGACCAGCAGAGCCAAGATCGCAGGATCCTAGCTCTGGAGCTCAGCACGCCCTCAGTGGCCATTTGGTCCAGACCCTACATTGGACAGATGGGGAAACTGAGGCCCGTGGAATTTAAAGCAACAAGCTCATTCCGTAGAGCTGGAAGGAGCCCCAGAGGTCACTCGGTCTACCCGACACCTTCATTTGAAAGGGGGAGGAGGAATTCGGGGTCTCATAGAGTTGAAATTAGTTGCTTAGGGTCGGGCAGGATTCAAACCCAGGTCTTCTTGTCCCAGAATCAAGAAGGCACATTCTCTGGGTCTGGGTCCAGAATAGAAAACCTTCCTTTTCCATGAGCTTTCTCACCTTCCCCATGCCCTGTCCCAGGCCCTGGCTGCCCTCCCTCCCCTGCCTCTCTTGCCAGAACCAGAGGGCTGCCTGGAGGCAGCAGGCAGGGGGCCTTATAGGTGCTGCAGACAGAGTCCTGGATCACTCCCTCCTCAGACTGATGGGAGGAGGGAGTCATTCTCTCCAGAGGCCGGGCCTGGGCCTCCTGCTTCCTCTGACCTCCAATTCGCTTTACCTCCTAGGTCAGCTCAGGAGCCTGGTTTGATTCTGAAATAAATCCCAGAGGCATGCATTCAGGGGGTGAGTGCCCCTGCTGATGGCAAGGGGGCTGGGCATTTTCAAAGAGCCTAGAAACTTGACCTGTAGTCAGCTCATCGGGACAGAGCAATCCAGATGTGACCAAAGGACCTTGGAAGATAAGGCAAGAGGCCTGGATTCTGGTTCCAGCTCCAAAACCTAGCTTGTGAAACAGTAGCAGAGCTTCTCTGTGCCTCAGTATGCTTACCTGCAAAATGGGGACAACAATGTCCTCCCCTGCCATCCTCACTGATATGCTCCGAGGCTCAAATGACATTGTAGATAAGACCCCTGCCTTTGTGATCTGGCTTCTGACCTTCCCACTCCTCTGAACTTGCTCTTCACAAAGTTACTGGACGTCTCTTAGGTACCCACATGCATGGCCTTTTCTCAATCTTTTCTCCTTGACTTCTCTGCAGCAGCTGGAGCTTTCGGTGACCCTTCCCTCCTGCATGCTGGGCCAGCTGGGTGGCACAGTGGATAAAGCCTCAGGCCTGGAATCAGGAACTTCATGTGGTTGAGTTACTTTTCAGTGACTCATATTATATGTGGGGTACTTCTTGGGTCCCATCTTTGGGGGACAGCCTAGACATAGATTAAACCTACACTTTAAACAATTCATCCTTGGGCACCGTGGTAGGGTTTAACAAGCCAGAGAGTGTGAGAACAGGCCCTTTGGGACGAGGACAGAACTCAATTCAAACCTAGTTGACTTGTTCTTCCATTAAACTTTGATTCTCGGGTGGAGGGGCTGGAGGGATTAACTTATCTTTTCTGTTTCATTTTTAAAACTTTGAGGGAGGAGACCAGATATTTATGACTCTCTACAGGCCCAATACAAGGAAGTGTCCAGCGTTTATGGCACCCACACCTGGTGCACCCAGCCCCCACACAGTTGGCTTCTATGGGCTGGAAGCCCCATTTCCTACTCCTGCAGAGGCTCTTCTGGGACAGAAATCTGGGTGCAGTCGCACCCAGAATAGACCATAGAGAAGAATGACCAAGAATAGGGACCTATGGGAGCAGACATTTCAACAGGTAATTAGAGAGAAGAAACCTCAACACAGACAGACGCTAGAGGTGGACAGTGACCTTGAAGTCAAAAGTGTACAGTGGGGGTGGAGACAATACAAGCATAAAAGCCTTGCAAGGTCAGTGGGGAGCCATGGACAGGGACCCCTGGGACCCCTGTGGGTGTTACCTGTGGGTGCTTTGTCTGGGACAGAATGGGCGAGTGTTGGGGGAGAGTGTATGGGAAGTCATCAGGAAGAGAGCTGCATGACGTACCAATCCGTGGTGCTGTGATCCCTAGATAGTGGTCAGCCATTTGGGAAGGCAGATACAACCACAGGACTTGAAAATTCAAGGAACTTTGAGGGTCATTTAGCACAAAGACTTCATTTTATCAAAGAGGAAACTGAGGCCCAGAGAGGTGAGCTTGCTGAAGGTCACACAGTGAGTAAGAAGCAGGCCTCAGATCCCAATGTACTGACTTGTAATTTTGTGCTCTTTCTACTTAATGTGAGTTAGCCCCCCCATGTTCCCACGAGACCAGCCCAGACTGTTGTAAGTAAGGAATTAGGGTGCAAGGTTGTGGGGGGAGGCAGAAGGGTATAACCTTGCCCCTAGGTGAATTGATTTGGGGCCAAGCTTTGGGCCCCTTGGGCAGGAGAAGTTTTTGAGAGTTTGGTAGGGTGCTCCCTTCTAGAAGACTTTAAAACCTTCTTCCCAGCAGCCTTTCTAATTTGCCTACTTATTTATCCTCTCTGCTTTGAGGATGCTTCCACCTACCACAGCATATGGAAATATGGCTTTAGGCCAAGGACTGGTTGTTCAGGGTCCCTGGCTCTGAGTGACCCTTTCATTGAACCTGGAGGGGGATAGGGACCCAAACCTCATCACACCATGTTACAGATGGGGACCCGCAATACTGTAGCCACCTAAAAGCAGAGGTTTGGGCTGGGTGACCTCTTGAGGGCTTTCCAGGCCACACTGCCAGGCTCTCTACCCGGTCCAAAATGATAAGAAGTCCAAAGGACTCACCTGGTTTGTGATAAGGCTTCACTGTAAGGGCAGCGGATATAGAAAACAAAGCCCGGAGGAATAAATGTCCATTCTTAGCCAGTGTGGAGTCCAGTTTCAGGTTTAAGGGAGTTTTACAACTAGAAGCTTGTTCAGGGCTTTTGTAGGTCAAGTGGCCAAGAAGGCTGCTCTGAGTCCTGGTGAAAGTGGTTCCAGGCTGGTGACCTTTGAGTGCAGCTGATGTGAAAGGTTGGGCTCTGGTAATAACTATGAATTCCAAAGCTAACTTTATTTTATGTTATTTCAGAGTTCAAGCCTGCCTTTTGACTCATAATTGCCATGTGGCCCTAGACAGCGCTTCATTGCCCCCAGGCAACTATTTCAAGTCTAAAAGTTGCAGAGGTGCTGACCTGCACGGTAGAAGGAGTTTCTTCTTCTGGGAGTTCCCTATATAGAATAATGTCAATTTGAAGGCAAGTGACCATTTCAGGCAGTCATTAGTCACACTAACTAGGACCTGGCCATAGAGATGATTTCTTGGGTTCAATCCCCATCCCCAATTTTTATTGATTATATTTTGTTTTTGGATCACCTTCATTGCATATCTCTTTCTTCTCCCCCCTTAGATAGATATCCCTTAGAACGGTGATGGGTGAAACTGCAGTAACTGAAGGGACAAAGGTTTGAGCTTCTGAGCAAATCAGAAAGCAAAATGTGCCAACTGTCCAACACCAGGGACCAGGCCCCCTCAGCTTTGGCATTGGACCCCGAATACAGGGGAGACAGATTTTTATGCATTAAAAACAATTAACCAAATAAGAACCATTAATTAAAAGAAAACAATTAACCGGGACACAAAATTAGGTGATCCGATTTCTAATTGAAGGAAAGCTTGGGGACTTTCCAAGTTGGGAAGGGGATAGCAAAGAGGTTCAACTTACTGAAATCAGAAAAAGAGGTGTACTCCTCCCCCAAGTGTCTGGATGCAATCAAAGAAATATGGATACAATGGGGGGGTAGGACCACTATGGGGACAGTTTTCAAGTAAGAGGTCTGGTTTGCTTAAGATGTATAAATGTGAGAAAATTCCTTGCGTCAGTCATTGGATCTGACCGGGTTGTTGGTCAACATAACCAAGGTCCTTAATTAGGAGTCTCTAAGCAGCAGAGAGAGATGGTCCAGCTTCCCAGCGATGTAGGGCTAGGTTCAAACAATGCAATGAAGTTTTATCCCAGTTCCCACAATTGAATAAAGTTTTCTTACAAGACATAAATTGGACCAGATCCATGATTGAATAGAAGGGAACTAGGATAGTTCCAGAACTGAGTCACAAGATGGAGTCAGTGGGATTCCCTCAATTCCCCCTTTTGATTCATGGGGGAAGGAGGCAGTTATCTGTAAGCCAAATCTATAAAGTTTTTCATATATTCATAATCAGAATTACATAAGTCAGGCTACAGATCAAACTACTTAGAGGACTCACAGTGGGCTAGTTTTGAGAGGGGAGATTTAGCGTCCCCAAAATAGTCAAAAAAACTCAGCAAACAAGAACACCATGAATCAAAAGGCCAAAGCAATAATTCAATGATGATCACCAATATTAAATAACACCAGGTCTCCGTGTATCCTAGTAACCCATTCCCAATACCCATTTAATCACTTCATCTTGTCTTGAGTCCAAGATGTAGTCATCTGGTCCTTGGAAATCTCTTCTCTTGGACCTTCTGGAATAGGCCTCATTCTCAGGGCAGCTTTGAAGGGGGCTCTGCTTCTCTGGTTCCAAATCACTTGTAGAAGTTCCTAGATAATTCTAAAATCTGTCAACAGCAAGATTTAATACAATTGAATTCAATCTCTTGAATATGGTGTTCTAATAATTGCTTCATGTGATGAAAATCAGTTGAAGTCTTATGGAACTAATCCTATTAACAACAGAGCTATAAGAGGAGCATCAGATTAGGAACCCATAATTCACCTGAGACTTTAGAGGATTTCAGTTTTTATATACCACTTGCTGTTTTTATATTTACCTAAACCCTGAAGCTGATATAAGAATCCTAAAAAAATTCATGAGGGTCTGACTTGTAAAATGAACCCTTTTCTCTTTTAAAATGATCAGACAGCTACTTTTAAATGGGAAAATAATTTCACTTTCTTTACAATTATCAATGCAATTTTGTATGTGAAATCCTTAAATTCAATTCTGAGAATTTAACATACTCAAAGCCCTGAATTTCAATGCTAGATACATTTGGAAGCTAATCATATACAGATGTAAATATAATTCTTAAAACAGTCTAATCCTGTTGCTTTCTCCAAATTTACTATTCCGTCTAATTACAAAACTTTTGCATCTTTGTCTTATCACTTTGTCTAGCGCTCCCTGCCTCTTAGGAGGATATCATCTCCATATTATAATTTGACCACAAATATAGATTAAAATTCTAAGATTTTTCACCCTTCACTCCTATTATAGTAACTCAGAGATGTTCCAGTATCAATCTATTAATCAATAGATTTAGTATTATACTTACAGAACTTCCACTACTCACCTGCCCTGATTATAGAAATTTTCTATGAAAGAAAAGGAAGGACATGGTTATAACAAGAAGAATAAGGAAAGACAGAGCAAAAAGAAGCAGTCTAGCAAATTTAACCAACACGCCCAGCGTGTCCTCCAACATGTCCTCCAACGTGTCCTCCAGGTTGGTCAGTGTTCCTCTCCTTGGAGGCCATCACCTCTGCCAAGAAGGGAGAAGGGTACATTTTAATGTGTGAGCTGAGCTTGCTCTTTGTAACTACATATCATTCAGGGTGGTTGATATCCAGAGGTCATGGTGTCTGGACCCGAACTTTGTACTTAAATAAGGTCTGATGAGGGCAAAGTGCAGGGGGTTTATCATTTCTCCTTACTGCTGAAAGCTATGCCCCTCAGCACAGCCCAGGAACGTGTGAGCTTTTTTTGTTCATCATATCCCACTGCTGGCTCATGTCAGACTTGTAGCCCACTGAGACCTTCAGATCCTTGCAGAACAACTGCCACCTATCCAAGCCTCTCCTTCCGTTGTATGGAATTTCATCTTAATCGATTGAGCCTGGTGCTCTTGCCTGTCAAAATCCTTCTGGATCCTCTCTCTCTCATCTGCCATGTTAGTCACCCCTCCAAGCTTTGGGTCATTGGCAAATTGGATGAAACTGCCCTCTAAGTCTTTATCATTGGATAAAAGATTTGGAGCTGGGAGGGGCATTATAAGTCATCTGGCACCATACACCAAAATAAAGTCAAAATGGGTTAATGATTTAGATATAAAGACTGATACTGTAAGCAAACTGGGAGAGCAACAAATAGTTTGCTTATCAGATTTATGTAGAACAGAAGAATTCGTGACCAAACAAGAGATAGAGAACATTACGAAATGCAAAATGGATAACTTTGATTACATTAAATTGAAAAGTTTTTGCACAAACAAAGCCAATGCAACCAAGATTAGAAGGAAAGTAGAAAACAGGGAAAGAATTTTTACAACCAGCATCTTTGATAAGGGTCTCATTTCTAAAATATATAGAAAATTAAGTCAAATTTATAAGAATACAAGTCATTCCCCAATTGATAAATGCTCAAAGGATATGAACAGACAGTTCTCAGATGAAGAAATTAAAGCCATCTATAGTCATATGAAAAAATGCTCTAAATCACTATTGATTAGAGAAATGCAAATCAAAACAACTCTGAAGTACCACATCACACCCATCAGATTGACCAACATGACAAAACAGGAAAATGATAAATGTTGGAGAAGATATGGGAAAATTGAAACACTAATGCATTGTTGGTGGAGTTGTGAATTGATTCAACCATTCTGGAGAGCAATTTGGAACTATGCCCAAAGGGCTATAAAAATGTGCATACCCTTTGACCTAGTAATAACACTTTTAGGGATATATCCCAAAGAGATCATAAAAATGGGAAAAGGACACGCATATACAAAAATATTTATAGCAGCTCTTTTTGTGGTGGCAAAGAATTGGAAATTGAGAGGATGCCCATCAACTGGGGAATGACTGAACAAATTGTGGTATATGAATGAAATGGAATACTATTGTGCTATAAGAAATGATGAGCAGGCGGACTTCAGAAAAACCTGGAAAGACTTGTATGGTCTGATGTTGAGTAAAGTGAGCAGAACCAGGAGAACATTGTACACAGTAACAGCCACACTGGGCAATGACTAATATGGATAGACTCAGCCCTTCTCAGCAATACGAGGATCTAAGACATCTCCAAAGGCTTCATGATAGAAAATGCTATCCACAAAGAAGAAAGAACTATGGGGTTTGAATGTAGATCGAAGCAAACTATTTGCTGCTTTTTTTCTCTTCTGTTGAGTTTTGTTTCCTCTTTCTGGTGGTTCCTCCTATTGGTTCTGATTCTTACTTACAAGATCACTAATGTGAAAATATGTTTAATATGAATGTAAATGTATAGCTTATATCAGATGGTGCACCGTCTTGGGGAGGGTAGTGGGGAGGAAGGGGAAGAAAAATTTTAAACTCAAAAGCATATGGAAGTGATTATTGATAAATCAAAATAAATTAATATAAAAAATGAAATAAAATAATAAGTCATCTGGCCCGACCCCCTTATTTATTGATGAGGAGACTGGATCCCAGAAAAGGAAAGTGTGACTTGCCCAAGATTACACTTTGAGTAAATAGCAGAGTCAGGTTCACTCATGGGCTGCTCTGATATGGGGAGGCCCAGAGAGGAGGACATCTCCAAAGGACCCTTCGTGGTATTTTTTTACACAAATTGTCCTCTTGCAAACCACTGCTAACCTTTACATACCACCTGAAGGTTTATGTTTGAGTACGTGGTTTCCTCTGGTCTTTTCTCCCCACAACCCTATGGGGGCCTATTACAAGTGCCGTTATCTCTGAATCAAAATCTAAGTGGCTGCTGAGCCTTGTGAATTCAACCTCTCCCACACGTCTTGTGTTTACTTCCTTCTTGCCACTCAGATAGCCCCAGGTTGGGCCCTCGTCCCCTCTCCCTGGGTGATGTGGCATCGGCCTTCTCATCCGTCTCAAGGCTCTTCTCTTTCCAATCCACCCTCCACAAAGCTGCCCAAGTCACATTCCTGAAGCTCTTACTCTATAATTATCCCCATTTTACCTCTGAGGAAACTGAGGCGAGCAGGTTAAGAGACCTGACAATAAGTATCTGAGACAGGATGCAAACTCAGGTTTTCCTGACTCCCAGTTGCTCCATCCATACCCAGAAATGCTTATTGATTGACTAAATTTACGCCATGGTTTTACCTAGTTATGGAACCTTGTGCCTCAACCTGAGAGGCAGAATGGTGATATGGATAATGGGTCATGAAGACCTGGGCTCAAATCCTGCCTCAGACTTTTTCCTCAGCTGTAAAATGAATAGTTGGCTTCTAAGATTCCTCACATCTCGAACTCTAGGATTCCATGAATCTCCTCTGCGGAATGAGGGGGTAGGCTTTGATGTTGTTGTTGGGCCCTTTGAGCCCCACGGGGTTCTGGGACCGCTCTGGACAGACCGGTTGACTCTGCTGTCTCCTGCCTCAGGTTTCAGCGCTCCTTGTGTGGAAGCAGCTGGGTCTCGACCCAGGTGCTGATTCTCTTCCGTGCCTGCAGGAACCCTACGGCCAGGTCGAGATGAGGGTCTTTGCTCAGCGTTGCCAGAAGTGCAGCACGGCCCTATTTGAGGAGCCCGAGTTCAGCCAGGAGGGCATCGAGAGGGTCCTGGGGTGTCTGGTGGTGTGGATTCTGCTGAGGTGCTACAGGGAAAGTGTGCCCCTTGGGGCCACCCGAGAGGACCCTTTCAGAGCGGCCCTTCCCAGTGGGCCTCGTGACACTGAGAATTGCGAGGCGTGTTAGCTGGGCATCTTCTGCCCGAGCCAATCGGACAGCAAGGTCTCAAATCCACATCCCAGAACCGTCAACAACTCCACCCAAGACTGACAACCTGCCTTTAAAAACAGAAAGCTGCTCCTGCTGCTTTCCTTTTGTATTGTAATGATCATATTTGTGGTGCTGGTGATCAGTCTTCACATGGTGGGGAGGGTAGTGGGGCTCTTTAGCAAGAGCCTTATCTGGTGTGTGGGACGGTAAATGTTTAATGACCAGTGGCTCTCCAAAGATACACATACACCAGGATACCCATTCACATATGTACATATTCACACACATAACTGGCCACACTATTAAGTTTAATTTGTATTTTTAAATTTCTCCACCATTTTCTTAAGTCTCGGCAAGTAGCCAAACAATAAGGCCAGCCTTTGATTTGTGGTTTGCCTTTTTTCTGAGGTGTAAATGCTCACCCGCAGAATTGAGTGATGCTGGGAGTCTGCTCGAGTTGGCTCCAGTGAGCTCCTGCCTTGACAAAGATGAGGTGACTGGACCCTCTCCCTAGGATGCTGACATTTAGAGTCTGACCAGACTTGGGCTCCTTCTGAAACCAGAAACACAGAGCTTAGTTCCTACTTAGCAAGAGCAAAAGCTAGAACAGAAAGCCACCAGATGGTCTTCGTCTTCTGGGCTGTGAGCCCACTTCCCGGGAGCTTTTTCCCAGCCCGCTTTTTTTGACTGACTTGCACCATGTACCCAAATTGCTAGTTGTGACTTTGCCCTTAGGAGAGTTGCTCCGAGAAGGCTTGGGATGGCTGGGATGGAAGCTTGAGGGCAGTCCCTGGGGAGATCCTAGTGGCTATATGAGTTATTTTCCCAAGGAATGAGAATCATTTCCATCTTCATGTTCAGGGTGGCTGTATGGACCCTGCCCTCATTCAGGGACCACTGATAATGTTGGGAAATCAACCTATCAAACGACTATCTCCAGCTTTGCTTTTATTCAAAGCTCTTTCTTTGTATAGGATTGTTTCCCTGGGGGTGGGATGGGGAGGCTAGTGCAGGGGCCAGGGGATGGGAGGGATTCTCTTCTTTGGGATCCTCTTTCTTTGTTACTTTGGATAAGACTTTAACAGTCAGCAGAAAAGAACTTTGATCAGGATTAACAACAGAGGAGAGAAATGCCAAGCTCTTTGAGACGTCACGTTCAGAGAGCAGGTGACCACTTTCCATTACTACTTATGTGGGTGGCATCTGCTCACCTTCTTAGTCCAGGAGATATGATCAGTGTGGAGTGATCCAAACAGAATTTTGGCACAAGCCTCACCCACAGGGAATCTGTGCCCTCCTCCCTGGTCTGCTGTATTTCAATGAACCCTAAACAGTGAGCTTGTCACAATGGAGCCAACCATGAATGTGGTTTAATGGTATGGTCTTCACTTGTACCCAAAGATGTGAAAGAAGTAAATGAAGAATGGATAGAAAATGAGTGCTGTGAAGACTCCGTGTCTGTGGCACGTCCCACACCTAGGGTGCCCACAAGCCTAGAGGGATGTCCCAAACCCAGTCATTCTAGATGAAGTGTAGATGCTTAAGTTCTACAGCCTTCTTGGGAGCTGCCAGCATCCCAAATGGGGCAAAGCTTTCCCACTACTGGCCTGTGTGGCCCATTGGTTTTCCCTCTCACTGCCTTCTAGAAGGTCACAGTTGAGTTTGCCGGGGATCTCTTGAACAAGGGCAACATGTCAGGCTTTCCCTTGAGGGCAGCCCCTTGAAATCTGGATTCAGGCTGGATTTCTTGTCGATCCCTCTTAAGATGCCGGTCTGTCTGCTTTAGCCTTTCTGGAAACCTCTTCTGACTTGATGCTTGCCCCACCAACTTAACACAGGAAAGTAGAAACAGGGCCAGAGAGGCTCTCTTCATCCTGACAGCCATCCTGAATGCCTCTTCTCTTGGCCTCAGTTTACTTCTCAAAGGGTACCTGCTGGTTGTGCCCATAGAAGTCCCAACTCTGTGGCTCTTTTTGTCTGGTCTTGGCTTTATGGGTGAGGCCATTGAAAGAGCTGGGGCATAGATATAACCCCTGATATGTCATCTGTCATTGAGAAAGCAGCATTGCATAATGGGAAGATGCTGAGATTAGATACCTGGATTAGAATCGTGACTCTTCCATTTCCTGACTGGGTGATCTTGGGCAAATCACATTTCCTCTTTTTGGAACTCAGTTTGCCCAGCTGTAAAATGAGTGGGTCCAAGGGTTATGTCTATGGTCCCTCCCAGTGCTAAATCAATGGTCCTATCATTAATTTGCTGATGGCTTAGAAACATCCACTAGGGGGAAATCAATGTAGGAAAACTTGTAGGTTTTCAGTCTAATGTAGGTACAGTCTATGGTCCGAATGGGTTTTTCTTCTGGGAAGCCAACTAGGGATGCCTACTGGTCCCTTCACCTCATTAACATAATTAATGGAGCTAATTGTCTTATTAAATGTGCAAGTATTGGCTAAGAAAGCTTGGATTGAAAAGTAGGCCCCTTCCAAGAGAGCTGGCCCCCAAGTCAGTGAGACGTGCTGAGGAAAAGGGGAGAGTAATGAGGAAGAAGGGGCATTTGTCATGTTGATGTAGAACCCTGAAAGACATTCAGGTTCATGTAAATCATGCCGTATTTCTTTTTTCTGAGACATAATAACCACAGAGACATTTGACCTCTTCTTCTGCTCCATCTTGTCTTAGTAGAACTTCCTACTACTTCATCTTTCTGTGTCTTCATTATTCCCCTGGAAACCAAGCCAGCTCGGGGACAAGCAGTGACTTCTTTGTGGATTAAAGCTTCCTGGACTTGGGGGGCTGGAGCTTAAAGGATTCTTGCCAAGTCCTTTGCTTAAACATGGAATTGCCTTGTGCTGATAGAAACCATCTCTTCATCTCCACCATGAAGGTCTCAAAGATGACTAGGTTCAGTGTGTGTGTGAATGTGTGTGTGTGTGTGTGTATGCGCATGTGTGCACACGTGTGTTCATGTGCGCCAGTGTGTCTGTGTATGCTTTGGTGAAGGGGAAATATACTTCAATTGATTGAAGCCTCTCACTCAAAGGAGCTTCAAATGAATCAACCAATCAACAATAATTTTTTAAGTGCCCACTCCACTAGATGGTGGAGATATGAAGACAAAAATGAGATAGTGTTTGCTCCCAAAAGAACTTGGATTCTAATAGACTTGAATGCTGGGAACTTTCCAAATCATCTGAATTCTATTTGTACCAGCCTATTCTACAGGAGCATTAATTTTATTTTTAATTTGAAAAGTTTTGTAGATTAAAAAAAGCCATTTCTTTCTTATCCAAATTCTACCTCACAGACTTACTAGCTTTCTGACCCTGGGCAAGTCATTTTAATCTATCTGTGCCTCAGTTTCCTCATCTGAAATATGAGGAAACTAATAATGCCTACCTCACAGGGTTGTTGTGAGGAGTGAATAAAATAGCATATTTATGCAAAACACCTTACAAACCTAAAAATTCCATATAAATGCTAGCTATTATTAGAACTGTAATGATTCCCCTTCCTTTCCCAGGAAACCATCCCTTTTAACAAAGAAAGAGGGAGAAAAAGGCAGGACATCAAAACTAACCAACACATTAACCAAGTCTGACAGGGTATACCTTGCTCAATCCCCACAGCCCTGTACCTCTGAAAAAAAAAAGGACAATCATTAATTTTAAATTTACCTAAGAATGAAAATGAGTAACAAAAGAATGGTGGAAACACACTATGTAGCAACCAGGAGATTAAGATCTCCTCTCCAAGAAAACAGTGGTGGCGGGCTGTGGGTGGAGAGTGGGGAACACCATCTCCACAAAGACCTATACTACAAGATAGGAGAGCTGATTGTCTTTTATGTGGGAGATATGATGAATGAATGATCTTCTCTTAGCTTGTGCCCAGCTCAATATCCCTCCCTCCCTCCCTCTCTCTTTCTCCCTTCTTCTTTCTCTCTGTTTCTGTCTCTCTTCCTTCTCTCTTTTTTTCTCCCTTTCTCTCCCTCTTCTTTGTTTTCTTCTCACCCCTCTTTGTCTCTGTTTCTCTGATAAGGTCAATTCTCCAGGCCCAGACATATTGCATTCCAGAATACTGAGAAAACTGATTGCTGTGACTGCCTGACCACTGCCAATGATCTTTGTTTTTGTGTGTATGTGTGTGTGTGTGGCAGTTGGGGTTAAGTGACTTGCCCAGGATCACACAGCTAGTGAGTGTTATATGTCTGAGGATGGATTTGAACTCAGGTCCTCCTGACTCCAAGGCCAGTGCTCTATCCACTGTGCTACCTAGCTGCCTGAATGCCAATGATCATTGAAAGATACTGGAGAACCAGAGGGGTGCTATAGGATTGGAGAAGAGCAAATGTCTTCATTTGATACCCCAAAAACAAAATGTGGGGTTTTTTGTGGGGGAGTTGGGGAAAGAAGTTGACCCTGCAAATTACAGGTCAGTGAGCTTGATGCTGATTCTAGAGTGCATCCAGAGGATTAGATGATTAAAGGGATGGCTGGTTAACATTTAGAAAGGGAAGCAGTGATCATCAAGAGTCAATGTGAACTCCATTTTCACCAAGAAGACGTCATTCCAGACTAACCTTAGCTTTCCTAGTCTGGCCAGTTTATCAGGGTTGTAGCACAGCATTTGACAAAATCTCTCACACGCTCTTCTTGTGGACGAGGAGAAGGGATGTGGGTCAGATGACGATATAGTTAGATGGATTCAGAACCAGTTGGGTTGTAGGGCCCCACATTCATTGATGGCTTGATATTTCCTTGGAAGGTCTTCAGTGGAGGGCTCCCGGGCTCTGTGCTTGGTCTCATGCTGGTTAACATTTTTATCAGCGGTTTAGCCATTGCCAGAGATGGGATGCTTTGTCAGTGTGCACAAAGGGATAGCTAACCCATTGGATGAGAGAGTCGCTTCTCCACAGATGAGAGGCTAATAGAGACAGGTGCAAATGTCTGGGCCACCGAGATTTTAATTAATTTGTGTCATGTTGACTGTCTGCTCTGGTGGAGGGAGTGAATTTGCCAGGAACTCTCCACGCTAATGGAATCACAAGTTTGGGTTGGGGGGGATGAAGTCTTATTTTAAAAAATGACTTGACAAGGATGGGGGGGCAGCAGTTTATCTGGGAAAAGTCCGGGGATCCCAGGGGCCAGCAAGCTTGTGGGGTAGGTCTCTGAGGGCTTCTGAGAGTGCCTCCTCCCTGCCGTGGGGCAGGGGAAGGTCCCTGGCTGGGCCCCACTGCCAGGGCCGTGGTCAGTTCCGGGCCATTGGTGCCGGGAAGGACTTGGCTGGCCTGGACGGGGCTAGAGTCCTGGGGCGCTCTCCTAAAGACCTCCTTCCAAAGGATGCCCGGGGGTCAGGGCACTCTGCCATCAGCCGGGCCTGCAGGGGGCGGGCGAGTCCCAGGGCCCGGGAGGCTCCTGGTCAGCAGAGGCCTCCAGCCCTTGGGGCTGCAGGGCCCAGGCTGCTCCTCCCAGGCAGCTGCAGGGGGCGCCAGAGAGCAGGAGGCCTGGCCGGGAGGAAGTCCCTGCTGGCCAGCCTGAGGAAGCGGCTGGGCCCTGCCGAGGGTGGGGGGCTGGGCCTGGCTGGGGCCTGGGGGGACAGGCCGGGGACCGAGGGTCAGGGGAGCCCCAGCAGACAGCTGAGGAAACTGAGGCCCAGGAGGGGGGAGGAAGGAGGAGGGAAGGTCACACAGGGAGCCAGCATGGGGCGGGGGGGGGGGCTGAACCCGGGACCTCTGACCCCAGACCAGGGCTGGACCCTGCCAACTGCCCTGATGGCCTCTGTCCCTCCCTTCCTCCCTCCCTCCCTCCTTCCTTCCTTCCTTCCCCCCTTCCTTCCTCCCTCCTCCCTCCTTTCTCCCTTTTTCCCTCCTTCCTTCCCCCCTCCCTCCTTCCTCCCCTTCCTTCCTTCCATCATTCCTTCCTTCCTTCCATCATACCTTCCTTCCTTCCTCCCCCCTTCCTTCCTTCCATCATTCTTTCCTTCCCCCCTTCCTTCCTCCCCCCTTCCTTCTTTCCATCATTCCTTCCTTCCTCCCTCCCTCCTTCCCCCTTCCTTCCTTCCTTCCTTCCTTCCTTCCTTCCTTCCTTCCCCCCTTCCTTCCTACTTCCTTCCCCCCTTCCTTCCTCCCTCCTTCCTTCCCTCTTTCCCTCCTTCCTTCCTTCCTCCCTCCTTCCTTCCTCCCTCCCTCCTTCCTTCCTTCCTTCCTCCCTCCCTTCCCTCTTTCCCTCCTTCCTTCCTTCTCTGTCTTGTCTCTGTCTCTCCCCTTCTTTCCTTCCTTCCTTTCTTCTCCAGGGGGAAGCATTGCCAAAGCCGTGTGGTCCAGGGAAGAGGACAGAGGAGGCATGGAGAAGAAGGCTCTGGTCCCTGCCAGGCTGAGCATCTCAAACCTGATGCTGGCCTCGGAGCTGCCTGGGCCGCCTGGGCTGCCTGGGCCATCGTCTGGAGGTACAGAAGGATACCAGGGAGGGCGTCCCTCCCTGGGATTTTGGACCATGTCCAAGCTGGACGGAGAAGGAGAGGGAGGTTCTGGTTCACCTGCCCCGAGGGGCACCCTGACCGCTGCAGTCTTCCTGCCCTGGGCCAGCTGCTCACCGAGAGCAGCTCCTTGTCCTGGGGCCGTGCCAGAGTCACTGACCAGGGCCCCACGCTGGTAGTGGTCTGCTGGAAGCTGGCAGCTGGCCCACCGGAGAAGAAGCTCTTCATCCCTTTCCTGCTTCCCAGGGAGGGCTCTCAGCAGGATGGTGACGTGGGCAGACTCCCCCCAGTCTTCTCCCCTCACCTTCTTCTGAAGCCCACCCACCCACCCATGCACCCACCCTCCCTCGCATGACTCCCAAGTGCTCTGGGCGCACAAGCTGCCCTTAGGAGAGGGAAGAAAGAAAAGACAGCAGGACATCTATTTTTGTAGGTGGTTAACGTTTCCTAAAGGCTTTTCCTCCACGACTTCATTTAATCCTCCCAATGGTGCTGTGATGATGGGGAAATAGAGGCCCAGAGTGCTTCAGCTTCTGGCTCAGGGTCACTGAGGCAGGATTTGAACACAGTTCTCCTTTCTTGGGTCAGGCATTCCTTCTATCCCACCCACATTGGCCTGTCGAGTCATTGTGAGCCTTCCTGGGATGTCAGCTCATAGGAAGGAGGAATTGGTTCATTCCTGGCTCCTAGCAGAGCTCCGGGCACATAGGAGAGCCTTGATAAATACTTGTTGGTGTATGGAATTTAAGGAACTAACACACACACACACACACACACACACACACACACACACACACACAGGAAACTGACTATATTGGAATATAATTATCAAAATATTTTTAAAAAAAGTTCATGGACCCCAGGTTAGGAGCTTCTGGCACGTAGCAGGTGTTTAATAAATGCCCATTATGAGTAAAAGATGATGCTTTAATCCAAAGGAATGAATCTCTCATGGTAAAATTTCAGGCATTTGTCACGTGGTCATGGGAAATGCTTTGGGTCAAGAATGGGCTCCCCAGCCCTCCTCACATCAGCTGGTATAGGGGGCCACCTTCCTCACATGCCTGGGTGTCACCAGAGTAGCCTGGCTCTTTCAGGGGTTTACCAACAAGTCACCAACCTCCTGAACATCGTGGATGAAGATGACCAGGAGGGCAGCGGTCTGAGCAGTCAAGAGGGTCACGGGTCCAAGATGCGCAAGGCTTTGGCCAGCATGATCATCATCCAGAAAGCCAATGCAGAGCCCTCGGAGGTCATGACCGCACTCATCCACAGCCTGCAGCTGGAGGAGGTAGGGTGGCTCCAGGAAGCCCCCACGTGTGCTGGCATTCACTCACAGGGGCCACATAGAGAAGGTCAAAAAGGATTCCCTGCCTGTAAGGGGTGGGAGTCAGGGAGACCTGAGTTCAAATCCAGCCTCAGACACACACTAGCTGTGTGACCCTGGGCAAGTTACTCAACCCCTGTCTGCCTCAGTTTCCTCAACTGTGAAATGAGAATAATAATAACAACACTGACTTCCCAGGGTTGTTGTGAGAATCAGATGAGAGCATATTTGTAAAGTGCTTTGCAAACCTTACAGCACTATTAAATATCATTATGATTATTACTGTTACTCCACCACGGTGCCATTCAGGAAAGGGCTTACCAAAGACCGGGGACTTGAGCTGCGCCTTGAAGGTTTGAGGATGATGAAGTTGATGAAGTTGATGAAGAGGGTGGAGGAGAGGCCAGCTCAAGTGAAGGTGTAGGAGTGACTGCCCTCACTCGGGGCTGGGGTTGGTGCCCTCTCTACTGGCCAGTCTCGGCTAGCTAAAGCCACGCTTCACCTATAAGAGAGGATTGAGAGGCAGGACAGGAAATGGAAGCTGGGGCCCCAGTGGTTCTCCACATGCCAGGGCGCCTCAGGTCCAGGGCTTTGGGGGATCAGAAGACCAGAGGCTTTGGAGCTGGAGGGGATGGTGGAGGTCATGCAGCCCCACCCTGTGGGCTTTTCCTTGAGCCCAGCTGGGCTCAAGACCATACAGGGAGTAAATCTCAGAGCTGGCCGAGTTTGAGCCCGGCTTGCCACGGCTCAGTCACAGAGATGAACGCACTTCCTAAGGGGATGAAACAGCCTTTATTCCAGGCTCACTGTGTGCTGAGCTCTGGGGCTACAGATACCAAAGTGAGACGGGCCAGAGACCCTGCCTTCAGGGAGCTTCTCTTCCAATGGGGAGACCAAACATACACAGGGGAGGGGTGGCCGGTGATGGGAGCGTCTGGGCGGCCCAAGGATGATGAGCATGTCAATCAACAGGCAGCTGGGTGGAATGCTCGACGTCAAGGTTAGAAGCCTTGCCCAAGGTCACCGAGTTAGGCAGCGGTGGGAGTAGCAGTGGACTTTGACAAAGCTCTTAGAGGTCTTATGTGGGGGGAGTCAGCAGGGCCCAGGCCCCAACCCCAAGGTCAGCGGGCTTCCCAGGCCCACGGCCAGGCCCTCTTCTTCCTCCCCAGATCTCCATCAAGCGGAAGGTCAGCATCTACACCGTTCTCCAGGGCATCATCCAGCAGGAAGGGGAGCTGGACGAGGAGTGTGTGCAGACGCTGGTGAACCTCGCCTCCAGGGAAATGCGGGAGATCCAAGAGGTGCGTCACATCACGGGGTGAGGTTTCGAGGAATGCCTTTTCCTCGGACTCCCATCCTGACCCAAGCATTAACGACAGCAACAACAAAATGCAAACAAAATAAAACAAACCAAAAAACCTTGAAGAAATTAAAGCAACGCAAAAAATATTACCGATGATTGCGTAAGAATAGATCCTTTGGTGATCTCCTGGTTGTTAAAAGAAGCAAAACCTGCATCTGTTCGCCTGAGCAGCACAGGCAGCCGCACGTTTGTCTAGTGTGGGGGGGAAAGGGGGGGAACAGCTTCTGGGGACTGGTTAAAGCTGTGGAAATTCACAGCAGTGTAGCCCCCCGGCCTCCTCCCTCGCCCCTACTCTAGGCCAGTTTTCCTGTCATTCTTTGACATTGTCTCACGATTCATTCCTTGGGGTGTAATAGCATTCAGTTAAGTTTTCCATGGAAGAGCACTAATATCCTCTCAGGAGGCCACTCTTGTAAACACACACACACACACACACACACACACACACACACACACACACACACAC